CCAGATAGCGCTAATGGACGACTCTCCACACACGGAAGACAGCAGCACAAAGGCGACTCGAAGGCACGACCACCTACAAAGGACGAGGTCTAGAAGGGGTAGAATTCCCTCTCGTTTCGAAAACATCGCTCGTGCAAGCTCGGAATCTATCGCAAGGCCTCGAAGGCCTCGATTCCGTCAAAATGAGCTCGTCGAACCTTCGCAGCCGAGGCAGCAAGCGAGCGGGTACGACGCAAATAGGGCTTCGTGACCCGAATTTTCCGCGCAGTCATGTTTCTCCCGACCTTTGTTTATTTCCCCACGCAGAGCACACCGTTCGATCTCGACACCGATCGTCGACCGGCCACGCCACCTCGATGCGTCGGTCGGCAAGAATCGTTCCGCGCGTCTCTAACGCCCTCTAGATCCAATCCAGGAAAATCCCTTCGCGGAAAATTCAACATCCAGACGCCACGATCCATGATTTCCGAGAATCATGGCGATAGAAAGCCGTTACCGAAAACCACCCTCTCCTTCGACGATGCGTACCGAAGATGCCGGGCGAAGGAAATGAAAACCGATGACGTCACGCGACAGGAGAAAAGATCGGACCATCACGATAGCCCCTCTCATCTCCTCGACCGGCCGCGTGACGTCATCGATATCTCTCCCTGGACGCCCGTAACGGATGAGCCGACGACCGCGCGATTTTCCTCCATGGCGTTCATTCGGCACGATTAGGACTGGAATGTTCATGCAAATGCGGGTACTAATTTGACGCAGCGGAGTTCGCATTAAAAATGCATTAATGCATGGCTGCATACCGTTGCCGACCGCATAAAAATGCATATTTTGCGTCAACCACCAGCCAATTACCACATTTCTACTCCGGCATGATGGTAAACGGGAAAAAAGGTCACCGAATTAACAAGATGAGAAAGTGAGACACTCCCAATCTCGGGTGTGTCCCACCTTCGGCTGATCTGCCCTGTGAGCTCCATATTGCTCGGGGATTCTTGCTCAACAATTGCCTCTACAGCGCAGCCCATGTAAAACTTAATCAGAAATTGCCATCTATTCCACTCCGTGCCGAACAATGTAATTGGAAAATAGCAGCACTCGCAGCTACACAAACGAACAATTACTGCGGAGTTGCAGCTCGTGACCTTCAACGTGACCTAAACGCAAACAAGTCTACTTAGGAAATAATTTTTCTTCACATCTAATAAACTCCTGAAACTCCGTGAATCTACGCTGGACAAACAGAAGTATGCCCGAACACAACTCGCATTTCCATACTCAAGGCGTTCAATGTTCATTGGAAATCGAGGACGCATATCATGTCATTCCGCGGTGCTTATTTTCAGAAATTTCCAGCAAGAAAATCCCAGCAATATCCCTGACTCGAAGCAGGAGCTGGAAAAAAAAAAACGAACAGTAACTTAAGGTCGTTCTAACCTCCTTATACAAAACGATATAAATCACAAGTCAGACTGGAGCCGATTCGCATAAACTCGACACCTCGCAACACTGTCCGAGTCTCAAGTACTTCACATCCGACGAAAAAAAAAAAAAAACCAGATGAAAAACGACCGGAGGCTCCCCTCCCATTGGCGCCACGGAAGAGGGAGAAGCACTATGAACGGGGGATGGGACGGGGGACCAAGGGGACGGGGGCGCGCAGATGCACTGGCGCCTCCGGGATTCCGACCCCACCCTCCCCTCTCAACCCATTCATCCTCCATTAAAGGTATGAAGACCTCTCGCGACGGCTCCATCCCATTATTGATCGCTCAACCCAAACGAACGTATCACAAAGCCGCTTTTCTACTCGAGTAGATGCAGCAATCCAGTCATGCAGTCCCGTCTTAAACTCCCGCTCCCACCGACAAAATCAAAGCAAAAAAAGAAAAAGATAAAGCGCGATCCTGAAAATCCTCAACCCCTCCCCGAATCGATCGCCGGTGGCATCTCGACCTCAATTATTTTCATGGTTGCCCACTAAGAAAAACAATCAGAGATCGAGCTGGGAAGGGGACCAGGTGAGCGACTCAACCGCACGAAACGAAATTTCTCCGCCTCGCGTATAATTCTGACAGCTACAATCGACCTGCGAGACCGACGACATGTCACGTGCCTTCCTTTTATGGAACGAGAAGAAATTCATGGAAACACGACTCCATCGACATTATCCTAAGGGCACGCGAGGTGAACGTCTCGACCAAAGTGCTACCGAAGGTGACCAGGCGGGCCCTAATACGACGGAGACATCTAGGGGACCCCCCCGTCGACGAAACGCATGCTTCGTGTCTGCGAAACCAGGATTCGACAGGAGAGGCGTCCCTCGGTGGAATCCAGGTGTCTCGTCGAGTCCGCTGCTCGGCCATGGATCTCTCCCCGCGCGTCCGCTCGAACGATCGACCGCAACGTCCGTATCGCGACCCCGTCCTCGAATTAGAACGGCGCGTCGCTCCTCTTCCCTCTCTGGCCTCGACCGCAGACGGAGCAGTCTGCGAATTCCGCCCGGGGTAAACGCAGGGCATCGCCTCCGGCGTCCCCGGGAGACCGAATCCACCGCATCGGATGGATTTTAAACGGCGGGGACAAAGAAGACGCACCCACGAAAAGGGAGAACGGAATAGACGCGGCGGACCCGATGACCTTGCCTCGGGGCTCCACATGGGCCTCCTATTGCGCAACACTCTCGGGCTGCTTCTTCTTCTTCCCTGTTTATTGTCCACGACCCATCGTTACGGGCGAGTCGTGACTTCCCACTCGCCTCCAGTCACCCGCGACGACTCGGTCTTTCCATTCTCGCAGCCTCCTTTGTCGAGACGAATCTCCATAGACGAAACCCTCGCGGGGACCGCCCCCAAATCACCCCCCAGACAATCACGACGTCCCGATGACCGATGTGGGGAGCGAGCAATCGGCTCGACCTCGCCCAGGGGGCGGACAAAAACCGACCTTGAAGACTCGTTTCCGCGTAATGACGGGGGCCCGCACGACCGCTCCTCTCCTTCTCTCTTCTATAAATAAACAAGTTGCGCTATTCTCGGATTCCGAAGAACCACCGACCCCGTGAAAAGGGCGAGAAACGAATCCGGGAATAAATTTCCCGTCAACAATGTCGACGAAGCCGAGGCAAACAACGAAAGTAGCAGGGAATTGCATAACCCCACCAGCTTTTCCCCCTTCCCTCCCCCTCGGAACCAGTTCCCCAGTTGTTCCTCGTATTTACTCGTCACGACCGTGAAAACATGCCATGCCAACATCGAGCTCGTTTGACGACAGGATTCCAGTGCTCGCGATCCGCCCGACTTTCCGCCTCGCATTTTCGAGCGTCTCCACCGATACCAGGAAAGGTCAACCGGAGAATAAAAGTGCCGACGCATGCCAGGTCATGAATACACAAATTATACACGACACGTCCTCTGCTTCCGATAATTCTCGAAGACAAACCCTGGCGCAGACGAAGGCCGTGCCCCTCGTCGAAAATTTACGGGCCTCGCCAGGCCTTGACGCCTCGGAGAAAGCCTTCTCTCCCCCCACTCTCTCTCTCTCCCTTGTCAGTCAGGTCGTATCAGATGGAATCGAGGAAAAGGTGACCCAAATTCGGTTGCTAGGCAGGGGACACGGCTGACTCGGCCGGTGGAATCCGGCGATCATAAAGCGATGTTTTCTCGGAACTCGTTGGCTCAATTGAAAGCGAAGGGCCTTTATTCGTGCGATTCCACCTATCATATCCCCTTTCGCCGTTCCATCGACTCAATTGCGTAATCGCTTCCGGCGAGGGTCAGGGAGTCCGTGCGCGCCCAGGCCTAACGACTAGCGGTCTGCCACATGTCCTCGTTCAGAGAATCTCTCTGTAGGGCATGTCGGTACACCGTGATTTACTCGAAACGGGGTTGGGGAAGTCGTGGCTCACCTATCACATCGCTGAGGGGATGATGGGCGACAAAATAAGCGTCGTCACCGAACCGGCCAGGTTTCACCACACCGGTGGAGAAGTCTTTGGGAAAGCCTGAGATGGCCGTGAGAAGATACAATTCCCCTTTCGTCCGTGATAGGACCTTGGAATTGCGAGAGGTCTCGATCTGTTCTGCGCCTTCGTCTCGGCTGGCACAATCCTTGCTGCCCTCGGCAGCAGTCGCGGGGGTGGCACATGACGACGACGGGACGCTGGTGTTGTAGATGCCGTTGATGAAAGCACGAGATAACAGACGACCACAAGCAACCAATGGATTCATGCCTCGATCGCTCGAAACTCCCTCACGTGCTCCTCGCTGATGCCACGGGAGAGGCAGAGGACGAGGAGGAGCACCGCATGCGAGCCGCCATCTTGGAAATGCCAGCAATCGAGTTACCGACGTTCTCGGCAGATGGCGGGGGCAGCGTGAGATGGGCGGGGACTACGTCGCAGGTACCTCAACGTGACTCTCATGCCGTCTTCCGCTGGGTGTGATGCGAGCAGTAGTACACGGCCGCATAGTGCCAAAGAATTTCGTCGTTCTCCGGCGCGGATGCACGAAGAGTTTCGGAAGCGAGACGCCGAAGGGGCTCGCTTTGGAAGAAATTGACTCCAAAGATTTGCACTTGTAACGCCAATCGTTGAGGTTTTGAAGTTGCAATCATAATGCAGTTGTACGTTATGAAAACGTTTTCAGAATAAAAATGACAATCCCTTTCCAAAGAAAGTAATTGGAAACTTCACAAATGCAGATACAATTTATACACCTGAAAAGTTTCATCAAAATCAAGCAAAATTTTAAACGGCTGCCAAAATCTTTGTTAAAATTTGATTGAGGCAAATGATTAGATCTCTGCAGGAGATCCAGTCCTCCCCATGCGAGATTAGCTTGATTTTAGATCTTGTATTGGCAGAAGTCCATTTTACCTTCAAAATTGGGACGGGCACGTATATCCCTTCAGTACAACTGGTGTGAATCCATGTCCCTTGTATTTGAGATGCAGCAGTGGCTGCAAGATGATTCAGTCTCTCCAAGGGTTGCCTTGTTTTCTCAATTCTCAAAGCAGGACTCATCGTCTCCCATCCATTCTTCAGGTTTCATACCATGTGTGAAAGCATCATCATTAGCTGTAATGGTGGCAAGCAGGTCCACCAGTTTGGATCTCTCATAAGAGTCACGAGCTGACAGATGACTGCACCAGTCTAATGTGAACCCCAGTAGGCTTTCAACTTAATGCATTGGAAAACGTCAATCATAACAGAATATTTTTTTTAGAAAGTCAGCAACTTGGTAGCCATCCAAGAAAGTATTCATTTTAAGGTCTCTTGTATGTTCTATTTTTTTGTATTTCCAGTGAAATGTTACAAGCACCATCCACACTATTTAGATTGGCTTTCTTAGCTTTCAAGGTGCAAGTGTCAATGAGTAAATGAGTTTCAGAGAAAATAAAAAAAAAAGGGTGGAAAGAGATCCACTCCCATTGCAGCATGATCCACAATGTTTTGAAGTTACCTAATTCCCTGCATGTTTATATGACTTTTTCCAACATTATAAAATACCAAAAATTGAGATCTGCACCAGGTAAGACTGCACTGAATGAAAATAGAGAGAGAGAATCAAGAAAAGGAGTCAATTCCCAAAATCCAGAGAGACCTTTCATTGGGATTAACACAAATTTAATATCCCTTTACACCCTCAATATGCATACTGAACTTCATTATTTTATACAGTCTAAAGACCCTGGGCATTTGACTCATAGAGCTAAACCACCTTTAAAATAACTCACACATTTCAGAAATGTAAGCAGTAGCAAATATTTTAAGCTGTCCAAGATGTTCAAGCTTAGATTTATTCTCAAATAGTCACACACCCAATATTCTTCTTTCTTTTTGTGCATTTGGCTTTCAATGTGTAATTTTTTCACCCACATTTTTGCAACAAAGAATATATTTTCTCATAATATATGATGTTTTCCAAGCACACAAAACTATCAAGAGAAAATCCCACATAAGTATATATCAGCATGTGAAGAATTAAAATATTGACATTTAGCACCAAAGCCCTATAACAAACCCTAAAAAATAAAATCTAAAATTCTTTCAGAGTTGAACTTGTTCAGGGAGATGTAGGGAGCTGCTGGCGACCTCTTCTCTCCAGGTTGTCGTCCTGTAGTTTGTGGGCTGGGTCAAAGGTCACATGTCCAGAAGGCAGAGTGATCTGGAGAGCAGGGTTCGGCTGGGTCGTCAGAGCACAGCCAAGTGATGTGTACCTGCATGTAGAAATGCTCACAGTCGAATTCAGTATATCTAGGAATACATGAAGCTGTAAATGAATGGAAGAGATAAGATCAGGCAGAAAAAAATAATGTACAAAATGGTTTACATTAAAGATAGTATAGAAAAGGAAACAGAAATTAAACACCTTCTCCTCCAAACATCTTCCTTCTCTTCCCCATTTCATCTCATCTACTTAATGGTGCACCTTGAACCTTCTATATTGGCTGAAATGCATGGTTTCCTTCTGTTTTCCCTCTACATCTGCCAATTTTTGCATAAAACTTTTGCAAGCAGTAAATGCATTTTCAGGTCAAACTGACCCACGATCATAGAGGCTGCAATACGGCAGACAGAGGCATCGGATGAACCTCCACACTTCCTTGTACGGCCATGAGAAGATGGGATTGATGCGCATCAGAGAAGGCCAGTTGCTGTCCGTGGGTGTAAATTCTTGCTGGTGAACTGTTTCGTGCACAAATGGGTCATCATGCTGTCAAGGATGAAAGGAACTCATGTAAGAGAAGAAACAAACAGACCAGCTCCAGGGTCTGCATTTCGCATGCCCAGGAAGCCTCCCTTGATCCCAGGATTCTCAGAGAGAAAGCTCCTCAGGCCCTCTTTGATTGTCCCACTCAGTTCCACCAACTCTAAATTGTACCTTAAAGAACAAAGCACTTTAAAACTCAAACTTTCCACCATGATACTGCAAAAGCAGTAAAAAAAAAAAGAGAACCTGATGATAGTTTCCTCGATGAAGGCTTGAAGCTGCGGAAAGGCACCAGGATTGCGGATGTGAACGACCTTGAGCCGATGACCGGGAAAGTGATGAAACACATATGAGGACACGAGGTGAAGCACGGCAGTGCAGTCCTTCCCTCCGTTGAAAAACACACACAGTTCTTCGGGCCTATACAAGTGGGGAACTAAATGTTACATGCTTTCCTAAATGCATGCTCAAATTTCAATCAATGTACTAGGATGATGAATCTACTACCTGTACATTTCATAAGCCTTTTTGAGGATTTCTAAAGCCTGTGAAATGTGACCCCGCTGTACATCGTCTGCCTCTTTCTCGGAGAAGGCCTTCACTTTCTCCCAACCGTCCAGGACAGGATTCCGATCATACTTGAGCACGTATTCTGTCAGAGGGGAACTGCTTAATTATAAATGTATTTTTGCTTTGACTGTAAACATATTTTCATCTGATGAGATATACATACTCACCAGGAGAGAGAAGATTGATAAAATATTGTTTAGCCTGAGACAAGCGAGCATTGTCTTCACATTCCATAGTCACCTGTACTTGATAATAACTGTGGAGAAAAAGTAAGCCCTCATATTAGTAAAGGATGGTGACTTATTGTTAAACATGTTGTATGTTGCTTTATTGCACGGAAGTGTGCATACTACGTTGGGTGTCATTCCATGATTTCCCTATTGCTGTGTGTATTGGGTTTGGATTTCCAATTTACTAAAAGAAACTCAACACAATAGACAATACCTAAGAATGAGTGTCATTACTTTAAACATGAAAATAACATGTGGATTTAGGAGAGTAAGCTGTAGGATACAGATTGGTTACTCTGCAAAATTGGGTTTCCAATCATTATTCTATCCAGACAGAAGATACTACACTGAGCAGTCAAGGCATCTCAAAGTGCCTGTTTACAACCCATACTGGCAGGTAAAATGGACATCACTTTGAATTCCTGTGGAATACACTATAGGAGTGAAATCTCTGCCAACTTCAGGGGTTTTCATAACCTCCAACTCTCATGATCCTTGAGCACAGTATGAATATGATGAAATATGTTGAATAAAACCAGAGACAAAGTAGGAATAGAAACCTGTGATGAATGACAGGGTAGGAACCAAATGTGACTTCAGGAAACTGATTGACAGCTTGATTCAGAGAAGGTGCAATGGTGACCTCGTCTGCCCTCAAATACACATCCTCCATGTGGCGTGTGTAAGCAGGATTGTGGAACAGTTTCTGCATTGAAAGTGGGTCCAATCATCACATTAGCAAAGAGGCATCCACATAAACGAACAAGGCTGGCATTGACAGATGAACAGATGATGGCTGACCCCGCCCAGTAATGTCATGGCACGTTCAAGGAGTTGTGGGATCCCTGGGAAGATGAACACATTCTTCACAGAGATCAATGGGAAGCGGGACTTCACCCCTTTCTCCCGATCTTCGCCGTAATTCAAGGAAGCAGTCTTGGGTACCTTCGAAGAAAGAATTGTCATCATTATTAATGGGCACAATCAAGGGATTGCCCATTGGGTAAGTTAAGCACACTTGCCATGCTGAGCTTGAAGACAGGAGAGGAGAGGTCATCAGTCTTGAACCACTCTTTGCAGAAGGCCTGAAGTTGAGGATGCATCTCAAGAGGAACATCGAATGCCTTTGCCACAGCTGCAAAAAATTTCAACTGCTATGACAATGCAATACATTCAACATGGTCTAAACATGAAACTATGGCAAAGGAACAAGACCTTCAAAAGTGAGATCATCGTGAGTGGGACCAATCCCACCTGATGTCAGCACATGGGTATAGGTCTGGGAGAAGACCTTCACCTCTTCAGCAATCTGCTCCACATTGTCTCCTAGCACCGAGATCTGAAAAAAGAAATTCTAAGTTTCTCTGGAGTACTTTGCATCAAAACCTCAGCAGAAATAACACAAGACCTTTTGAACTTGGACCCCAAGGCGTGTGAGCTCCCGACACAAGAAATGGGAGTTGGTGTCCCGAACCTGGCCTTTCAGGACTTCATCACCGATGACTGGAAGGAGGAAGGGAACTAGCTATTGTCTTGGAATTTGAAGAAAGTATCAAAAGAGAGAAGAGCCTTACCAATGATGCCAGCAGTGTGGCGATCACTAGAAATGGAGCTCATGGTCGTTGCCAGCCGTTTACCTGCCCCGCTCCTCACTCCTCTCCACACCCAAGGCATTCTACAATCTTTACAAACGTTTTTCTGTCCTCCTTTAGCATGAGAGTCTCTGTGACCAAAATTATCCCCCAGCAAGCACTGGAAATTTCCAAACACCTAACATGGTTGAGAAATATCCCACAATAAATGAAGATCCATCATGTTTTTGATCTACAAAGGACAAAATTTCATGATGGCAAGGTTCTCCTTCCTCATCTCACTGATAAGAGAGAGCATCAGGGCAGGAATTTCTTCTCTTACAGAGGAGTAAAACTTGAGTCACTAGTAGGAAAATATGACTTTATTACAAAAGAATCATGACATTCCTGGCATAATTGAAACCACAAAGTTTGCCTTTGCCTTACAGTGTGCAAACTCATGAATATGAAATCAGGATGAAAACTTCTAAATGAGAAGTCCAGAAAAACAAGAGTAGACTCTGTCATACAGAGTCATATTGAACAAGATTCCATGAAATACAGACATCACATATGAAGTCCTCCATCTGAGAAAGAGCAAAAATGAATTCATCACTGAGAGGCCGACAGGCTGACTTCTGGGTCACTTGGGCCGTCCTCTTCCTCCCCTTCCACCCCCTCCAGTCTTGGCTTTCTTCTTCGGTTGCTGGGACTTTTCATCACTCTAAGAATAAAATCCAGAGAGAAAAAGCAGGACCAAATAAATAAATAAAATTCCACAACTAAAAGAACTACGCATCTTCAAAATCTGCAACTTTAGCAGCTTACAAAGCAAACTAGCTAGCAAATATTTGTTGTTGTTGTAATGATAACTTTTAGATTCCTTGTACAGACCTTCCGCTTTGCAGGTGTACTAGATGTGACAGTGAAGAACCCATCCAGTCTTCCCTGAGTAGAAGAATGCCTTCCCTTGAGAAGCTTCTTCACTCCATTGCGAATTCGCTCTTCAGCAAATCCCTTTTCTTTCACCATGAACTCAATCAGCTGCTCCTCATCAGGGTCATTCCATTTCAGCTGGAACCAATGGCATCATCATGTAGCATGAAATTAACACAGCAATAGGCAGAGTGGATATAGAGTAGCATAAGATGCAGAGGTCCCAATTCCACTTCATTCATTTAATGGTAACCACAAGAAACTATTGGAGTACCCAACAGTTATCCAAGGTGTAGGGAAACCTTTCACTGAGGTGGAAAGTCTCTCTCTAAAAGAAGACTTCCAAAGGATCAAAGACTTCTATTTCCCTAATGTTTATTTATACTCATTACATTATTCTATATTATGCTTCTGACCAACAACAAAAAATAGAAAGGTCACTCTAGTGAGTCCTTGAGAGCCTCAGTTATCAAAATTTCAAGGGGAAAATCAAATTTTCCCCATGGTAATCAAGGTTGGGGTCAAGTGGGGTTCAATGAGACAATTGTTCAAGAAGTCAATATATCAGGTGCAATCTCAAAAGTGTGGGGGAAAATGGGATGAGTTTGATAAAAAAAATACCTGAACCACTGCAAAGCCATGCAAGAATCGTATCAGAACCCAAAACAAATAACAAACCAAACAGTTGAAAACAGAAAAACTTGATTATAAATAAATTTATTTTAGCACATCAAAGCATTTTTACTAATCTAACAGTAAAGTGCCCCAATTGCATAAGCACCAGGACATTGCTAACACCTTACTCGACTTAGAGTGGGTAATGAATTTATATGCAGATCCATGAAATGATAAAGGGGCCTGTAGAAAGTAATGCCTAATGTTGAGTTCTTGATTATTGATAGAGAATATTAAAAGAGAATAATCTGAATAAGTTGTCCAAGGAGTATGATTCCCAAGGATAACAATTGGGTATGTAAGTTTGTAGATATTTTTAAACTTCTTATTCCAATGTTGCTTCGAGGCAGGCATGTGATTTACATTCTGATAAGAAACAAATCAGTATGCTTTTCTATGTTTTCAGACTTATGAATTTTCCAGTACATAGGAAATGCTTACAGCATCTTCAAGTGGGAAGGTCATATCAATCCCCAAACAGTTATGCCTACAAACAGTTATTCCTAGCCCCATATACTATGGTGTACTATAGCTTATGCAGGTTTGCTTCCAAACACATCTGAGCCTAAGAAAAATCACTGCAACTTATATATAGTGCTTGATTACACATTTTTTATATAAACTAAAAGGATGACCAAAAGTTAAATTAGATGAATATGTTGAAGACTATAACCTGACACCAATGGATAATTATAATTGATTTCCCATGAATTTCATATGAATTAGAAATAGCAATGGTCCCAGCTTTCACCCCAGTGGCACACCGTATGTTGCAGGAATGTGAGCCCTAGCATAGTCATTACAATGAAAAGATAGAGGTTTTCTGTCCGATAAGATCAGAGCCACTCCAGTGGAGGGTCATGGAATCCACAATGACAGTGTACAAAGCAAAACATGATAAGAGTTGGAAGCCTTTCTGACCTCTAGAATGATCCTGATGTCAATGTTCCAATTTCTTAGCTTCAAGTTCAGTTTTTCAAAAACTTTCTTGAGTGTAACTGTTATACTATGATACTTTGACACCCATTAATACTGTTCACAACAGCAATCTTGATCTGCATATTTAAAGGTGAGATTAAGCTGTCATATCAGAGAAGTATCTAGTGTTTCACCTCATGTGGATTCCCTCCATTAAATACTGAAACTGAAAACACACTGTCATTTTCTTCAAAATCAGAGGGGCCACTTTCACTTTAGAGATTTAGCAAGGTCAGGGGCCAATTAAATGATAACTGCCATTAGCTTTGAAGAACTGTGGATGCATGGCACCACCAAATAATTGGTGTGACTTCTCAGATTCAAATAGCTCATGAACTACAGGCCATCAGAACATGAATTTTTGGAAGTGCATTTTACATAATTTGGATGAGGAATTATTGGTTAAAAAAAAAAAACCTATAAGGAATGCTACACATAGGGAGGAATGACTGTCAAGAGTCAGTCCCAATAACCCTTTTAGTGGCATGCAGCTAATTTTTTGGTCATGTATATTACTTCCAAAAATGCTGTAAAATGATTTTTATGTCATCAAACAACAAGAATCCCAACTAGTGAAGGACGAAACCTAACGAAAAGCTGTGGCTAAGAAATCAGCCCCACTGAACAAAAAGGAGCAAGGAAAGTTGTGGATACTCAGAACATTCAAAATACAGCACCTATTCCAACTTATGCAATATCCCACACCATCCTTCCAATTGACAATCTTGACAGCAGCAGGTACAAGGTTGCCAGACAAATTCCTGAAATCCCAAACCTGATAACTTCAACACTGTATGCCCCTCCACTTTCCCAACCTCTGCCTACCTAACACATCCTCCTATTCCAAACAGCCATTGAAATGAATCCCACATTAGAAGACACTTGATTAGTTTTTTCCTTGCTGATTTTGCTGAGGTTGCAAGAAGTATCCTTTAGCCTGGGAAACATCTGCACTGTCTAATGTTGGAGATGGAAGAGAGGAAGGTTACATAAGAGAAAACCAAAATAAGACTTCTAATAGTAAATTGGGAAAGCCCAGTCAGTCATCCGCTTTGGGACCTCTAAAGATGGTTACAAATACCAACACTCACATCAATTTCATCAGGATTCAAGACATCTGGGTTCTGAAAAAGTTCCCGAGCTCCATCATAGGGCCAGTGTTCAGGAGGGGGATACTTGGATTTGTCTATCCGTTCGAGGATCTTGTCGATGCTTCGGTGCTCTCTGATGAGATCTATGGCCCGTTTTGGACCGACTCCCCTGATGCTCTCGCAGTAATCGCAACCAAGCAAGATGCACAGGTCAATGAACTACAGAGTGAGACGAGAGAATCAACATTTAGATTAATGGACTGGATGCACTTTGATGCTCACATTTCCAGCATTCCATTCCTACCTCATCCCTCGTCAGGTTGAGTTCGGTCAGAACCTTGTCGAGATGAAATTCCTTGATGGGCATCTTCCGGGCTTCAGAGTACGTCATGTGCCGCAGGAGGACCGTGGAGCCGAAGGTGAGGCTGTCCATGTCCTCTGTGGCGGTCGCAAACACCTTCCCCGCTTTCACCATGACTGCACACTGAGCCTCTGCTTCGCATGGAGCCTGAAAGATTGCATCACAGCTTCCTTGTGCCAAGAACAAGATGGAGATTGAAAGCATAACCTAGGATGATATTTAAATGTGGTCTCACTTCAACATAAGGAATGCCCATCAACTGGAGGAGCTTCTTGCAGTCATCATTGTGCTGCCTCGTGACCTTCACCAGTCTCCTGTTCAGTTTCTCAACTTCTTCCACATTTCCTATTCAAAATGAAGTATAGTCAACTCCACATAATGAAATACTCCAGAGATCAGAGAACTCCATTCCACCATTCCAATAATAATAAAACTATCATACTCTACTTTTTCATACTTCAGGTGATTTTTTTTAAAGACTTAAGACAAAGCATCTGTTCATTTATTCATTTTCCAATTTTTTAAATGCCTTTTTGGTACATGCAGTTTCTTCTGTTCTGCTTTGTCTCATTTAATTAGTATTTGTACATTCATATTTTCTTCTCTACATACAGTACTTTTTGCATGTATTTTAAGATTTAATACAATTTACATCTGCTCTTTTCTTTAGCACTGCTTATGATCTTTTGAGTTTTTACATTTCTTTGTTCATTAGGGCATTAGTGTTTCTGCTGCCCTTTAGGTCAAGTTCAAGTCTTTTCCTTTGGTCAAATCAGAATGCAGAAATCTATTTCTCATAGGCTCAATTCCTCTTCCAGATGTACTAGCTTCCATTTGCACCTGAAAAAAGAGGGCAATTTTATCGTTTTTCTGTAGCTACAGCTCAAATTAACACTCCAATTTCTAGGAAAGGGTGAACCTGCCATCCCTCATCCCCACTCTCGGTTCACAGAAAAGACAAGAGGTAGCAGTTAATGATTTTGGTTCCATTGAGCAGCAGGAACTTTTTGAAAATGTGGGAAAGGAAAAATACTTTTTTCCAAAAAAATTTAAATGGATCTCTTTCAGGAAAGTTTACTCCTCTTATCAGATTATTTAGCAACAGTATTCTTTCATGCAACGTTTTACATTTTGCATATGGCATTAAAAAATTAAGGGACTGCACTAAAATATTCTATCAGGTATTATAATAAATAGACTCAACTATACCGAAACACCTGACAGACTGCGGCTGAAAAAATATTTCAATGACAGGCCTCAATTCCCTTTTTTGTCGAGAGACAAACCTGCTTCCTCAGCAACTTGCAGAGCCTTCTGAGTTTCCTCTCTCCTTTCCTGTCTCTTGTTCAGTTCGCCGCTCTTCATCTCGGGTGGTTTCCCGTCGAACACGTAGACGGGTTTGATGCCATTGTCGACCATGCGGATCGTACGGTAGAACATGCCCATGAGGTGACTACAAGAAGAAACAAGAGTTTCTCAATAAGTGCAAGTAACATATGGAAACAAAATTGTAGTTAGGCTCAGCATACTGCTTGGTCTAATTGGCACTTAAGAGTGAAGGGGGAGAGGGATTCAACAGTCTAAGCCAAAATTGAGGCTTTTTGATAGGACCTAAACTCAACAATCACTAGGAGTTCTATCCAAACAGGTTTTTGACCTGGTTGGAGAGGCTAGGCCAGCTCACCTTGTTGTTTCCCCGTCAGCTGAGGTCAGATTCATCCCATCTTGCCTCACAGCAATGAGGAATTGGTAAATACTCATTGAGGCATCGATGGCAATCTTTCGACCTGTTTAATTAAAACAGATCCACTATATAAAAAAAGCAGGGACAGTGAAAAGCAAATGATGAAAATTCAGGGTAAGACTGACCGAAGTAGTTCTTGATATCATTCTCCTTCACTGCGGACGGAGCATAATCAGCAATCAACTTAGAAAGACCCTGGATTCCCATTTTCCCAAGGTTCAAGGATAACTGGCGGCAACGTTGGCGGCAAATAACTCCAGTCAGGCGAAGCGCATTCACGTGTACCACCATAGGTCGAGCAGGCCGATCAAAACAAATGCAATTGAGCAACGAGCCGTGTCGAAGCTAAGTACGTCCATTTGATAAAGAATATGATATATAAAATTACCAAAATATCAAAAATACATTTTTATTCAGAGAGAAAAAGGAAAAACGCAAGAAAAGCCGAGTGTTGAAGTCGAGACAACTGGCAACAGTAGCTAGGCTGAAGCTGGCACCAACACGCGGACACGAAATAGAGTCCTGCACGGTCAGTTACTCCGACACGGCACTTGCAACACAAGCAACTCCTTCCTTACTTTCAAGGCAGTGCATCATGACTATTCGAACAAATACACTGTTTAAAACCATTTCAAGGTCGGTGAAAATTTCTAAATCACTTCCTCTAATGATTCACTAGGAATAAGCGAAATGACAGAATGGAACTCTCCTGCATCGCCGAGTGAGAAATTTTTTTAAATTTACAATGATAACAAATATGGCGCTGTCATGGACACGCAGATTCCCGAGCAAATACACACCTTGAAACCCTTTTCAAGGACAATGAAAATTTGCATATGACTTCCTCTAATATCCCACTTGAGGTGAGTGGAATAACAGAATGGAACTCTCCTGCATCGCCGTGTGAGAAACTTTTTAAAATTTACAATGACAGTCAATATGACTCTGTCATGGTCACGCAGATTCCCGAGCAAATACTCACCTTGAAACCATTTCCAAGCTCATGAAAATTTGCATATGACTTCCTCTAATATCCCACTTGATGTGAGTGGAATGACAGAATGGAACTCTCCTGCATCGCCGTGTGAGAAATTTTTTAAAATTTACAATAATAGAGAATATGGCGCTTTCGTGGACACGCAGATTCCCGAGCAATTACATACCTTGAAACCATTTCAAGGACGATGAAAATTTGCATATGACTTCCTCTAATATCCCACTTGATGTGAGTGGAATGACAGAATGGNAAATTTACAATAATAGAGAATATGGCGCTTTCGTGGACACGCAGATTCCCGAGCAATTACATACCTTGAAACCATTTCAAGGACGATGAAAATTTGCATATGACTTCCTCTAATATCCCACTTGATGTGAGTGGAATGACAGAATGGAACTCTCCTGCATCGCCGTGTGAGAAATTTTTTAAAATTTTCAATGACAGTCAATATGGCGCTGTCATGGACACGCAGATTCCCGAGCAAATACACACCTTGCAACCATTTCAAGGACGATGAAAATTTGCATATGACTTCTTCTAATGTCCCACTTGAGGTGAGTGAAATGACAGAATGGAACTCTCCTGCATCGCCGCGTGAGAAATTTTTTTTAAAATTTTCAATGATAGTCAATATAGCGCAGTCATGGACACGCAGATTCCCGAGCAAATACACACCTTGAAACCATTTCCAAGCTCATGAAAATTTGCATATGACTTCCTCTAATATCCCACTTGAGGTGAGTGGAATGACAGAATGGAACTCTCCTGCATCGCCGTGTGAGAAATTTTGAGCAAATACACACCTTGCAACCATTTCCAAGCTCATGAAAATTTGCATATGACTTCCTCTAATATCCCACTTGAGGTGAGTGGAATGACAGAATGGAACTCTCCTGCATCGCCGTGTGAGAAATTTTTTAAAATTTTCAATGATAGTCAATATAGCGCTGTCATGGACACGCAGATTCCCGAGCAAATACACACCTTGCAACCATTTCAAGGACGATGAAAATTTGCATATGACTTCTTCTAATGTCCCACTTGAGGTGAGTGAAATGATAGAATGGAACTCGCCTGCATCGCCGCGTGAGAAATTTTTTTTTAAATTTACAATAATAGAGAATATGGCGCTTTCGTGGACACGCAGATTCCCGAGCAATTACATACCTTGAAACCATTTCAAGGACGATGAAAATTTGCATATGACTTCCTCTAATATCCCACTTGATGTGCTTGTATAGCAGGCCTTGGTGCCACACTTTATCGAACGCTTTGGTGACGTCGAAAAAGAGGGCCAGGAAATGCATGCCTGTGTGGACGCTGTCATGGACACGCAGATTCCCGAGCAATTACACACCTTGAAACCATTTCAAGGACGATGACAATTAGCATATGACTTCTTCTAATGTCCCACTTGAGGTGAGTGAAATGACTGATTGGAACTCTCCTGCATCGCCGCGTGAGAAACTGAATTTTTTTTTTATATTGCCTTATTATAGGGCGCTTTTCTTCTGGAACCGTTTCTTTCTGAAAAGTTTCTTCGCTTGTCAATTTCTGTTTTCTTTTTTCAGACTCTAAAACGTCTCTATTTGCCCTCTCGTTCTTGACTCTCTTATCGTCTGCCTTCTTTTATCCTTATTTGCTTGACCACCCCTTTCGCCTGTTCGTTTGTAGTATGGCCATAAAATCTTGTCTTGAATCAACATACGTGATCGACGATAATTTCCTTCCATGGTTTTCTTGCATTGGCGCAAACAGGCGTTTCAAGACGACGGTTAAGGTCATTGACGATGTTTTTTTTCGCTTTCACTTTCTTGGATAATCTTTCTTTTTCCCTGGGAAATGCCTTGGGAGATCCTCCCCCAATACTTTCAGTCTTCGTTTGAAGTGCAAACCCTTTTCTTGCTCTGATATCGTGTGATTTTTGCGAAAATCGCTACTTTACCGTGATTTTGGAACAAGTGATGCCTTATCTGCTACATATATTCGTCGATGGCAGGATTAGTCTGACAACTTGGGTGCAGGAGTTCCCGATGGAAACTCGGGTGAGTTTTTTTTCTAGTGGCTGGTCGCACTATCTTGTAATGTATTCGAATTGTAAATCTCCCCATTTTTGTATTCATCTTCAGAGTAAACCTTACATGTTTCTCTCCGAGTTCGTGGGCAGGAATCTTTTCATGCTGAAATAATTATTATTTTTTTCTCTTTCACGTCTTGAATCTTTACTAAGTTCGCCAAACACACCTGTCTATTTGAAAAATTCTCATGACTTGAACGCTGTTCATGTGATTAATGGAAAATGAGGAGAAAAAACCCGTAGCTCTATAAGAAAATTTTGATTTAATGAAATGGCAGATAGCAAGGGAGGGGGGGAAATTAACGGTATACGGCTTTTAGCGGTATACACTCATTGAGCGCACCAATCCTGGCCAGATCTTCTTGCAGACATGACAGTTCCCCTGAATTACTTGAACAAGTTTATTCAAGGCCGTGAATGCTTTCAAAATGAAAATGCTACTTTAGGAACATCAGCAGGTTAAATTCAATCTGAAAGGAAAAAATACACGTATGAATTGTATCGTTTCATTTCATGTAACTGCGATGAATAAGTAAATATTTGATCGTAATATTGTCATAACTCGGCGGCGATTGACTGCCGAGCTATGACAAAATCACAATGAAAATTTTAAAATTTACAGATAAAAATGAGCGGCCCCCACAGATCGGCCCCCCAGTGTTCCCACACCCCTTGTTATGTCACCGTGAAAACGGTTTTTCTACGTCTCGGTTCAGACAAAGCAATCAAAGGATTTCCGTATTCCTGGAATAACATTATTTCTTTTTTTTTTTGGAATAGTTCGCGTCATTTTGATTCCTTGACCGCGCTTACACAAGAAGATGACAGGACATTTCATTCGATCCGTCTTACGATTGTTGGACGCGAGATGCTCTCAGTTTGAGCTCAGAGCTCACATATTTCATGACCTCCAAAATCTTTCCTACGCAAATATTAAAAAAAAAACCTCCTGAAAATGACCTGGCATGTTCAGCAGTCAAAAGAGCTACCTCATGGCCACCAGGAGTCACGATTTCTCGAGCTGCTGAAAACGTAAACCTTCTGTATTTCTGGATCTGGCCGTCACCGCAATCATCTATTGAAGTAATGGCATTTCGTCTGTTTCAGTCCGATTATACAATTATGAAATGGCTGCTTCAAGTGCATGAGTTGCAAATGCCGTTTCTGAGTGCTCATTGTCGTAATAATTCCTTGAGCCAACCTTGACCTTTCGTAGTGATCGAATCGTAGGGAACTCTAATTAACAACTCGGAAGCTTAAAAAATTCGGCATCCACATACATCGGGAATAAGCAAATATCTTTTTGTTCAAGTTCCATGTCCCGTGATTTATCTACAGCAAATCCAAGAGAATGCAATTCCCATTGCTTACAAAATTTTCGCTATGATGTTTAGACAAGGACGAGCTAAGAATCTGGGAGGGGAGGGGGGAGGAACCAGCCTGGAACTTGCACAGCCCCCCCCCCCCCTCAGAGGCTTGGTGTGGTGGGCTGTCTGTATTTTTTACCTGCCCTGTTGCCCTGTCTGTATTTTATGGCGTTGTTTGCCCTCTCCTTTCTTCTCTGTTTTGTTATTCCTGAGCGTACATCTCATATTTGCAGAAGGAAAAGGGGAAGGGTGATATTCTTAATAAATGATCACCTAATTGAAGCTCATTCATACATGCTTAACCCTCTTAGTGCCATGGGTTGATATTTCGGCCCGTTCCTGATTGTGCAAAAATTGCCACGTGTCAAAATTTGACGTTTCCATGACCTAGAACGACTAAATACGCGTTGCACTTTTCGCCCATCCCTCGCCAGAAAGTGTGGCACTAAGACTTCTTATACCAAATCTCATCGTTGGACTTATGGCTTTCGCGAACTTTTGGGTGCACTTCCATTTTTTAAAATCTTTCATAAGGTTCATCCTCCTTTTCTTCCTCGTACAAAGTTGGCGGAAGATGGATGTTGATTAGAAGGGTGTCATAAAAGAATTTTTATTTCATTGGATTTCTTTTAGTCACACAAGTTTCTTAGTATTCATTTTCGTTATTTCAAGACAGAGAAATATGCATTCACCTTCTTTTGTAGGAAATCATTGGCCTCCTGCAGGAAATGGACGTAGGGCTGCCATTGCTCCCGCATAATCAGGCATGGATTGCAGAAACAGCCCCCCTCTCTACTGAGGTACGTCGAATTAGGTTTTATGAAAGCACTGTGTCCTGGTTTTATGCGCCAATGCAAGAGAGGTGAAGAGTTATACAGGCAACGTTCTCCATCCGATTCCCAATCCAATCCAACA